AAGATTTAAAAGATTTAAAAGAATTAAATATTTAAATCTTTTAAATATTTTAAAGCTCTGAGGAATTAACAGATTTAAAATAATTAAATATTTAAATCGTTTAAATCTTTTAAATCTTTTAATTCTTTTAAATATTTTAAATCCCCAAAGGACGTGAGATTCTGGGGACCTCTTGGGATTTAAATCTTTTAAATCTTTTAAAGCTCTGGGGAATTAAAAGATTTAAAAGAATTAAATATTTAAATCTTTTAAATCTTTTAAAGCTCTGGTGAATTAAAAGATTTAAATCGTGAGCTGACCCTATTGTTGGAGGATTCCTGGAGACTTCAAAGATTTAAAAGATTTAAAAGAATTAAAAGATTTAAAAGAATTAAATATTTAAATCTTTTAAATCTTTTAAAGCTCTGGGGAATTAAAAGATTTAAAAGAATTAAATGTTTAAATCTTTTAAATCTTTTAAAGCTCTGGGGAATTAAAAGATTTAAAAGAATTAAATATTTAAATCTTTTAAATATTTTAAAGCTCTGAGGAATTAAAAGATTTAAAAGAATTAAATATATAAATCTTTTAAATCTTTTAAAGCTCTGGGGAATTAAAAGATTTAAAAGAATTAAATATTTAAATCTTTTAAATCTTTTAAAGCTCTGAGGAATTAAAAGATTTAAAAGAATTAAATATTTAAATCTTTTAAATCTTTTAAATCTTTTAAATATTTTAATTCTTTTAAATATTTTAAATCCCCAAAGGATGTGAGATTCTTGGGACCTCTTGGGATTTAAATCTTTTAAATCTTTTAAAGCTCTGGAGAATTAAAAGATTTCAAAGAATTAAATATTTAAATCTTTTAAATCTTTTAATCCTTTAAAGCTCTGGAGAATTAAAGATTTAAAAAAGATTTAAAGCGGGAAGCTGAACCTATTGTTGAGCTTACTGGAGACTTCAAGATTGAAAAGAATTACAGATTAAAAGAATTAAATATTTAATCTTTAATCTTGAAAGCTCTGGGGAATTAAAAGATTTAAAGAGATTAATGTTTTAAAATCTTTTAAATCTTTTAAAGCTCTGGGAATTAAAAGATTTAAAAGAATTAAATATTTAAATCTTTGAAATCTTTTAAAGCTCTGAAGAATTAAAAGATTCAAAAGAATTAAATATTTAAATCTTTTAAATCTTTTAAAGCTCTGCCAATTAAAAGATTTAAAAGAATTAAATATTTAAATCTTTTAAACCTTTTAAAGCTCTGAGGAATTAAAAGATTGAAAAGAATTAAATATTTAAATCTTTTCAATCTTTTAAATCTTTTAATTCTTTTAAATATTTTAAATCACCAAAGGACGTGAGATTCTGGGGGCCTCTTGGGATTTAAATCTTTTGAATCTTTTAAAGCTCTGGGGAATTAAAAGATTTAAAAGAATTAAATATTTAAATCTTTTAAATCTTTTAAAGCTCTGAGGAATTAAAAGATTTAAAAGAATTAAATATTTAAATCTTTTAAATCTTTTAAAGCTCTGGGGGATTAAAAGATTTAAAAGATTTAAATCGTGAGCTGACCCTATTGTTGGAGGATTCCTGGAGACTTCAAAGAATTAAAAGAATTAAAAGATTTAAAATAATTAAATATTAAATATCTTTTATCTTTAAAGCGCTGAAGAATTAAAAGATTTAAAAGAATTAAATAAATATTTAAATCTTTTAAATCTTTTAAAGCTCTGGGGAATTAAAAGATTTAAAAGAATTAAATATTTAAATCTTTTAAATCTTTTAAAGCTCTGGGGAATTAAAAGATTTAAAAGAATTAAATATTTAAATCGTTTAAATCTTTTAAAGCTCTGAGGAATTAAAAGATTTAAAAGAATTAAATCGGAGCTGACATATTGTTGGAGGATTCCTGGAGGACTTCAAAGATTAAAGAATTAAAAGATTTAAAAGAATTAAAAGATTTAAAAGAATTAAATATTTAAATCTTTGAAATCTTTTAAAGCTCTGAAGAATTAAAAGATTCAAAAGAATTAAATATTTAAATCTTTTAAATCTTTTAAAGCTCTGGGGAATTAAAAGATTTAAAAGAACTAAATATTTAAATCTTTTAAAACTTTTAAAGCTCTGAGGAATTAAAAGATTGAAAAGAATTAAATATTTAAATCTTTTCAATTTTTTTAAAGCTCTGGAGAATTAAAAGATTTAAAAGAATTAAATATTTAAATCTTTTAAAGCTCTGGAGAATTAAAAGATTTAAAAGATTTAAATCGTGAGCTGACCATATTGTTGGAGGATTCCTGGAGACTTCAAAGATTTAAAAGAATTAAAAGATTTAAAAGAATTAAAAGATTTAAAAGAATTAAATATTTAAATCTTTGAAATCTTTTAAAGCTCTGAAGAATTAAAAGATTCAAAAGAATTAAATATTTAAATCTTTTAAATCTTTTAAAGCTCTGCCAATTAAAAGATTTAAAAGAATTAAATATTTAAATCTTTTAAACCTTTTAAAGCTCTGAGGAATTAAAAGATTGAAAAGAATTAAATATTTAAATCTTTTCAATCTTTTAAATCTTTTAATTCTTTTAAATATTTTAAATCACCAAAGGACGTGAGATTCTGGGGGCCTCTTGGGATTTAAATCTTTTGAATCTTTTAAAGCTCTGGGGAATTAAAAGATTTAAAAGAATTAAATATTTAAATCTTTTAAATCTTTTAAAGCTCTGAGGAATTAAAAGATTTAAAAGAATTAAATATTTAAATCTTTTAAATCTTTAAATCCCTGGGGAATTAAAAGATTTAAAAGAATTAAATATTTAAATCTTTTAAATCTTTTAAAGCTCTGAGGAATTAAAAGATTTAAAAGAATTAAATATTTAAATCTTTTAAATCTTTTAAATCTTTTAATTCTTTTAAATAGTTTAAAATCCCCAAAGGACGTGAGATTCTGGGGACCTCTTGGGATTTAAATCTTTTAAATCTTTTAAAGCTCTGGGGAATTAAAAGATTTAAAAGAATTAAATATTTAAATCTTTTAAATCTTTTAAAGCTCTGGGGAATTAAAAGATTTAAAAGAATTAAATATTTTAAATCTTTTAAATCTTTTAAAGCTCTGGGGAATTAAAAGATTTAAAAGATTTAAATCGTGAGCTGACCCTATTGTTGGAGGATTCCTGGAGACTTCAAAGATTTAAAAGAATTAAAAGATTTAAAAGAATTAAAAGATTTAAAAATAATTAAATATTTAAATCTTTTAAATCTTTTAAAGCTCTGAAGAATTAAAAGATTTAAAAGAATTAAATATTTAAATCTTTTAAATCTTTTAAAGCTCTGGGGAATTAAAAGATTTAAAAGAATTAAATATTTAAATCGTTTAAATCTTTTAAAGCTCTGGAGAATTAAAAGATTTAAAAGAATTAAATATTTAAATCTTTTAAATCTTTTAATTCTTTTAAATATCTTAAATCCCCAAACGACGTGAGATTCTGGGGACCTCTTGGGATTTAAATCTTTTAAATCTTTTAAAGCTCTGGAGAATTAAAAGATTTAAAAGAATTAAATATATAAATCTTTTAAATCTTTTAAAGCTCTGGAGAATTAAAAGATTTAAAAGATTTAAATCGTGAGCTGACCCTATTGTTGGAGGATTCCTGGAGACTTCAAAGATTTCAAAAAAAAATATTTAAAAGAATTAAAAGATTTAAAAGAATTAAATATTTAAATCTTTTAAATCTGTTAAAGCTCTGAAGAATTAAAAGATTTAAAAGAATTAAATATGTAAATCTTTTAAATCTTTTAAAGCTCTGGGGAATTAAAAGATTTAAAAGAATTAAATATTTAAATCTTTTAAATCTTTTAAAGCTCTGAGGAATTAAAAGATTTAAAAGAATTAAATATTTAAATCTTTTAAATCTTTTAATTCTTTGAAATATTTTAAATCCCCAAACGACGTGAGATTCTGGGGACCTCTTGGGATTTAAATCTTTTAAATCTTTTAAAGCTCTGGGGAATTAAAAGATTTAAAATAAATAAATATTTAAATCTTTTAAATCTTTTAAAGCTCTGAGGAATTAAAAGATTTAAAAGAATTAAATATTTAAATCTTTTAAATCTTTTAAAGCTCTGGGGAATTAAAAGATTTAAAAGATTTAAATCGTGAGCTGACCCTATTGTTGGAGGATTCCTGGAGACTTCAAAGATTTAAAAGATTTAAAAGATTTAAAAGAATTAAAAGATTTAAAAGAATTAAATGTTTTAATCTATTAAATCTTTTAAAGCTCTGGGGAATAAACAGATTTAAAAGAATTAAATATTTAAATCTTTTAAATCTTTTAAAGCTCTGAGGAATTAAAAGATTTAAAAGAATTAAATATTCAAATCTTTTAAATCTTTTAAACCTTTTAAATCTTTTAATTCTTTTAAATATTTTAAATCCCCAAAGGACGTGAGATTCTGGGAACCTCTTGGGATTTAAATCTTTTAAATCTTTTAAAGCTCTAGAGAATTAAAAGATTTAAAAGAATCAAATATTTAAATATTTTAAATCTTTTAAAGCTCTGGAGAATTAAAAGATTTAAAAGAATTAAATATTTAAATATTTTAAATCTTTTAAAGCTCTGGAGAATTAAAAGATTTAAAAGAATTAAATATTGAAATCTGTCAAATCTTTTAATTATTTCAATTCTTTTTATTCTTGTAAATCTTTTAAATCTATGAAGTCTCGAGCAGCCAGCATATGCATAATATGACCTAAAGGTCCCTCATACATATATATATATATCTGGGCAAATTAAAATATTTCACTACCCTGAATTAAGGCCATTTGGGGATGATTTCCCTTATTAACCATGATTCCCAGTGAGATCGCGGTGAGGTCGTTGTAATTTACCCATATATATATATACATGTGTGTGTGTGTGATAGCGACAAACTTGGGATATTCTATGAACAACTGGCTTGCAATATGATCATTGCTCTCGACCGGGACGCACTCCCAACCATTACTCAATCTGAAGGCAGGGGGCGCGGCACCATGTCACACTTTGTCAAAATGACCTAGCACAGGGCCGGAAAAATGGGAGAGGAGCAGAAGCAGGTTCAGCCAACAAGAAAACATGAGACATGTATGGTCGGGTTGGAAACTCTATATATGTAGATATGTGCCATGGTCATTATCATTGCCATTGTCATTCCCATTCTCATTCTCATTGTCAATCAATATCAATATCTATACCTATATCTATACCTCTAGATCTCTCGCTCTCTCTCTCTCTATATATATATTAAAACAATATATACATATATATATATATATTATATTATATATATCTCTCTCTGTATCGCCATCCCGAAGGCCAGACTGAGGGCGAGCACTGGGGGATCCCAAACACAATGGCTTTCAATACACAAATGGTCTCAGTGATGATTTGGGAGTACCCCAATTCGGAAACCTGTCAAAAATGATGTCCATCCAATGCAAGTATTTGCCTTGAACATTTTGGAATGCAACAAACATGGATCACCAGATGGAGTGGTCTAAATCGTCTATCGCCCTGGGCCTGTTGCATCCGGCTCTTCGAAGCCGGGGTTCAACAGTGAGGTGAAGTAGCTACCCTTGTAACATAGTTGTGGAAAATGGTGATCTTACATAGCTATGTTATGTGAAATTACCAGAAGATACAGCACATGGTTCGCGTCAGTTCTCATCCCAAAAACATTAGCCAAGGCAAAGGCGACAAGAATTTTTTCCCTTAAGCCCCCCATGTTTATTGGCCAAAAAACCACATATTCACTACTTAACATCACTTTTACATCCTTGGATGTGCATCCCAGTTAAAGTATTGAGAGGTTTATGCCCTCTATATATGACTATCCAGGAACCCACATATTACCGGCTCATACTACGGTTATTTAATCACTGCATTTGAAGGGAAATGGAAAGACCCTACCATTTCCAAACTAGCATGCCCAAGTAGTGGACAAACCAACATCACCTCCATGTTTTTCCCCAGCCCAAACCAGCCAACAAAACACATTTTGGGTCGGTGATTTGTGCCAACAACCCCCAATTTTTTTTCATAAGTTCACCGACATTTTTGGTGAAAAATCACCCGGAAAAATCGAAGTTTTCGCCCATTTTCCCATCCATTGGACCATTGGACCGCCAAGGCGGCGCCTGCTTCATGGGCCCCGCAGAGCCCAGCTCCGTGAGCCACTCGTGGTCCGTCCACTTGAAGCCGTGCCGGGCGTCCACCAGGACGTAAAGAGCGCGCAGGGAGGTCCTTGGCTGCTGGGTTCAAGGGATTCTTGTTTGGCTGGTAGGGGTTAGGCTTATGATAAAATAATTGTATAAAGATACCTACGATAATATAACTATATAAAAAACAATATATATTATATTATATTATATTATGTTATATTATATTATATTATCTTAAATTATATTATATTATATTATATTATTATATTATATTATATTATATTATATTATTATATTATATTATATTATACTATATTATATTATATTATATTTATAATATATTATATTATATTATATTTATAATATATTATATTATATTATAATATATTATATTATATTACATATATACACAAGCAACTACATCTATAATACATATATAGGGTTTACTACATGAATATTAATGTATCTATATTAATGATAAAACCAAGCAGTAATAAGCACCCGGTCGGGATATCAAGCTGGATATAATAGAGATATACACTCCGGTGTCATCAAGCATGGAGGTTTACTGGAAAATCATCGCCGTGTGATGGATTTCCAACTGCCATGTTTAAAAAACTTGCTTCACAGTAGGTTGGCAGGGTTTTTTTCTTGGGGATCATACGATTTTTGAAAGATGTTTATCCAAGAGAAAAGCTACTATTTGTTGCATGGATCTTATTACATCTTATTCCATCTTCAACATATTCGGAGATGTTGTATGTAGAAGTGCTGGGTAGTTCTATTTGTCGGTAAGTCTCTTCATTGATAGGTCACCTCCGAAATTTTGCTGCTGAGATCTCCGTTTCTTCTGGTTCACAACCATAATCTTTCATCTTTTCACTTTGAACTTTGGACACTTAGATAGCTTGCTTCTTCATCAGCATCCCCTTTTCTAACATGTATTACCGCATTTCACAATATTTTGCACATTTAGATGGTCATGGTTTTCGAGTTTACTTCTCAACATCCAAATTTTCCAAAACCAAATCCATCATTTTCCCACAACCATAAGTTTTGCTTGGTTTATGACCTTTCCGGCTTTTTGCCCACCCATACCCCACCCCTCCCCACTTCCACCGAGGTGCCGGTTCCGCACGAATTCCAAGGCCTCGGGCCCAAAGACCTTGGCCCGGGCGGAGTGACCGTAGCCGGGCATGTCGATGAAATCCAAACGCACCTTGCGGTTGCGGTACCTGGGTGAGATGCGACCAGGCTTGGGTGGGTGGGGTGGGCTGGGAAAACCTGGAAAAGATTTGCTCTGGGACATCATCATTGTCCTTATATGTCCTTATCAAATTTCCCAATGCAGCCATGGCTCCAAGCCGCTTGTTTGGTTTGCCCCGGCATTGAAGACACTTTGGCCACGGTGCCGAACTGCGAGACGCGGTTCAGCAAGGAGGACCTCACCCAGCGGCACTGGAAGATCTGGCAACCCATCATCCTTTCATTCGGGAGATAGGTTATCTACATGTCCATTCTTGTTTTTGTGTCATCATGGTTCATCCCATTCCCATCTTCAACAGGTCTTGGACATAGTTGCGGCTTCCCATCTTCACTGATGACATGTATAATAATCACCCTCTGGTAAACAAACTATTGAAAATGGACCATATATATAGATGATTTACCTATAAACTGGTGATTTTCCATCGTTTTTTGTATGTTTAGAGGATACACAGCATTTCCATCGATTTCCCGCATGGTTTGGAGCGCTACACCGTGGCCGTGCGACTTCCCCACGTTGGAGCGGCCAATCAAGGCCACCTCGGGATAACCTGGATCCGGCTTCGGCCAGTGCTTGGAGTGCAGCCTCGGGACAGCACCGTTGAAGGAAAGCATTGGGAAGTAGCCTGTGACTATAAGATACTATAAGTGCAACCTTATCTTCAGATATTTACAATGTAACTATAACTATAAATTAATATCTCTATATATCTATAATGATAATTATATATATATATATATATCAACCACTATCATGATTGACGAGAGGAGAACTGATAACGATATAACTCAATATGACTCACATGATAAACATGTTACAAAGACCGCAACAACTAGCCAGTGACTCTTGGGGTATTATTTTGGGATTTGAGCAATCCGTTGCTCGGAACAACCCCCCCACGAACCTGTAAAAAAGCCAATGGCCCATAGCACCAAAAAGGGGCAAATGCAAATGACCAATTTGGCCGAGCTGCAAACCAAGAGATAATGATGAACCAAACAAAAATCCAAGAATCGTGCAATCACTCACAGCATCTTCAGCGAAAACATCCGCGGACTCCACCCTTTGACTACTCTCCAGAAATCAAACATGGCTAGCCGGGAAATCCCCTACAAAATGGACATTGCAATTGGAACATCTTGGAAAATCGGATCAAAACGAAGGATTTTCCAGCGAAGGCGGTCGCAGCCAGGCCAAGGAACAGCGGTGCTTTTGCATAGAGCCGCGTCCGAGACGATGCCTCGGACAGGATGTGTCCAGTTGAAGCCTCCTCCACTGGAACATCACATTTTTCGAAGGGAAAATCCCAGTTACCCTTTGGTAATTTAACATAGCAATGGAAAATCACCATTTTCTGGTTGGTGGT